GACCCTCATCTTTTGTCGGGGCTTGCTTGACTATCCTTCCTCTTCAAGATTTTGGTCTGGAGGTGCCTCGCCCTTATGCAGTTAGTCTCTGTCCAATACTTCTTCCCGAGTTGGAGTTGTGTCAGTTCTTCCAGTAGATGTGGTCGTCTCGCAGATCAGCAATTTTCCCTCCTACCAACCATATCCTGCTGAACTTCTGTCTCCCGTTCTTTCGCTGTTCCTCATCCTCTGACCATGATAATTTAATTTTCCGCCAACGGCATTGCCTGTATCATTGCTTTCGTCTCCAGCCAAACCATCTCTCGTGAGTTGGACACTCCTTCAATTGTTCTACTGCATCTTTCCTTCCATATGACCCATAGTGTCACCTTCCTGATGAGTCCATACCAGCTCTTTTCCGCTTTCCGGAATTGTTCAGGGATGTTAGTCAGAAGGAGAAGTTGGATGGGTTGTTCAGGGACAGGAGTTAGGAAAAGGGAGTCCCATAGGGTCGAGGCTCTTGCCCAGAATTCTGTCGCTTCCCTACAGTGTATTAAGCAATGTACTATATCCTCTACCGCTCCCTCCGTACATATTTTGCATTGATCGGTGCTGTCTGGTTCTGAATTCTTGCACCTTACGTGTAACCACAGGTTAACTGGTAATGCCGCATATGTAATCAGCCATTGACGGCTTCTGACTTTGATTGGTCTGATTGTTTTATAAATTTTCCACGGAATTTGTGTGAGCTTGTCTGCTTCCTGTCCTATTAGCTTTTGCCACCTGGTCTTAATCACCGGTTCTGGATCTTTTGTTTTTAGCAGTAGTTCGTATCTGAATTTAACCGTGTAATCCTGAATGGGGATGGATCTCTTTATATTCGCTCTCCTTTCTGGTTTCCATGCCCATTCCATCGGGTCGAACTCCAGGTTATGTAGAGTTGTGTCGGTTCTGAAGATGAACTTCGGCCATGTGCCTAAAACCCACACTTTTCTGAGCAGGAAGTCTTCTATGACTGTCGACTCCACGTCTATGTTTTTGATCGTTGTCATCCCCTTCGTGGAGTGGTCAATTGGGAAGGAGGTGAAAAACGCTTGAGTGGCTGAACCGGGGTGTAGGTGTGAGAATTGGAAGGCCCTGGAGGGATAAGTTTCCTGCACTTTGATCCCCCATTCACCACTTTTCCATGGCTCCCCTTGTTTTAGCATATCTTTCCAATCCTGAGGAATGAGATTAATAATATATTGCAGGTTGGGTTCTCTTTTATGGCATCCCTTCAAACGTTCTCTTAGCTCTTGTTCAGAGACCCATTCTTTCTTTTCTTCATTCCATAAGTGATTGATTGTCCAGACTCCATTTTTTACCCATGATTGTCATTTGTGGTCTAGGAACAGGGGTTCATCACTCTCGCCCTTCAACCATTCATTTCCAAAGAGTGGCTGCCTCAGCACTTCGTCCTTAGATTTTGGTCTGTTGGTCTTTTTTGGCATTATTTCCCTCCAAATCCGAATTAGAGATGCCCAGTAAGGTGTTTGGCGATTGTCTGTATTCCTTTCTGCCTCCCCCCTGGGTCTTCGTCTCGCCCTTTTCAAGGACCATTCCTTATTCATTACCCAGAATAACCCTGTCATGTTATTTGGCGATGCCACCGGAGCTAGGGCCCTTATGCTATCCAGGGCCAGTTTATTCCAAGCCGTTTCTGGTTTAGTCAACAATCGGACTATCCATTTAACTTGAAGCGCTCTCGTTTCACACCTCGGTTCGATGATTCCTAGACCCCCTTGTGTCAGTCTTCTTGTAATGTAATGCCATGCTATCTTTGGGATACAGCCTTCCTTGTTGGGGTTACCTGTCCATAAATACGTCCTGGCCACTCGATTAAGTTCCTTTAGTGAATCGTCCGGGATTGTCCAGACAGATGCAATGTACCACATCATGGAGAAGATAGAAGTGTTCAGTACCAATGCACGACCAATCAGTGAGGTGAATGTGTTTCCCCATCTACCCAGTTTGTTTAACTGTTTAGCTAACATATTCTGGGCCATTTGTGGTACCAGGCCTTCCCATGACATGAGGATGCCTAGATATCGGGTGGGTGTTTCTGGCGTATCCCAGGACATATCAGCCTCTGGGCCTTGCAGGTTGGGAATCTGTTCACCCGATAGCCACCAGCCTATGGTCTTTTTCCAATTAATCTTCATTTTTGATGCCACTCTGAAGGCTTCCATCGCCCTGGATAGTGCTTTAAAAGACGAATCCGACGCTCTAATCAGTACTGTCATGTCATCTGCGAACAGAATAACTGTCGGGAACTTGAGATGATGGGACGTCCCTACATTGACCTCTGGGAGTCTATGTATGGAAGGGTCTTTCCTCAGGAAGGAAGCAATGGCCTCCATCACAAATAAGAAGATCGAGGGGGCTAACGGGTCCCCTTGTCTGACTGATCGGGAAATTGGGTAGCTGTCAGATAGAAACCCGTTAATCTGTACGCAACCTGAGGCATTGTTATACAATACCTGGATCCATTTCCTAAAAATTGGTCCCACCCCCATACGATCCATACTTGCATCCATAAACGACCAGTTGACTTGATCATAGGCTTTTTCAAAGTCGAAGAAGAGTATGGTTGTGTTTATCCTCCTTTCTCTGACTTTGTTTGCCGCTTCGTTTAGAGTTAGCACATTATCCAGAATGTAACGTCCAGGGATGAAGCCCGTCTGATCAATATGAAAGCATTTATCATCTATTTTCGTGATTCTGGCAGCCAGGGTCTTAGCCAGGATTTTGTATGGGAGAGTTAGTAAGGAGATAGGTCTATAGTTCCTTATGTCTTCCTTGTCTCCCTTCTTATACAGTAGTGTTACTACGATGCTACTCAGCAGACTGCCTAAACCCCCTTTCTCAAAGCTATCTCTGTAGAAGTTCAGCAGGTCCCCCCCTAGGTTTGGCCAGAATTTTTCCCAGAACTCTCTTGTCAACCCATCAATACCTGGTGCTTTATCATTGTTCATGCCCTTGAGAGCTTGGTTTAGCTCCTCCAAAGATAGGGGCTTGTCCAGCTCTTCTGATTGTTCTGGCGATATCGTTTGCTCCAAGTATTGTGACATTCTCTGTCTCGCTTCCAATGTATTACTTGGCGTGGGTGTTTGGGTTTTTGTCTGATACAGGTCCTGGTAAAATTCTTTGGCTATTCCCAAAATCCCGTCGCTGGTTTCCTCTGATATCTCCGGGTTGCTAAGGCTTTTCAGTTTTTCTATTGTGGCCGCTCTTGCATTTGCTTTAATTTGGGCAAAGAAGTGTTTCGAGATTGATTCGCTGAGATCATACTCGCACATCCTGGCTCTTATCTGCATGCGTTTCAGCTCCCACCACCTCCACATCGCTCGCTCTTCCCGTGCTTTCTCGAATATGTCCGCATATAGTGTTGAGGACGGGTTATCCCTCAGGTTATACTCTGCTATCTTCAGGGCCTTTTCCAGACTTTGTTTTCTATGCTTCCTTATAGAGGCCAGTTTTCTTAACATGCTGGCTGCTGCCTCCGCTAGTAGCGAGTAACTCTCTACAAACCATTCCCATCGGTCATGAGTGGGAAGGCGACTCATACCCCTCTCTTTCCAATATTCCCGTATCCCTTCTTGAAAGGTTTGGCTCAGCAGTAGTGAGTTGTTCAGTTTGTGAAAGCTGGCCCCTTTCCTCACTTGTTGTTCAAAGCATATCGTGAGCTCAATAGGTTTATGATCCAGTCCTGGGTAAGGTGCTAGAGGTAGGATCTCCGCCTATTTCACCGCTCCCATCATTGTGCCTGAAATCATGAAATAGTCTATTCGTGAGAAGGCTGTATGTTGCGCATGGCTTTTCTTGATCAATGTGAATGCTCTCGACGTCGGGTGGAAGATTCTGAAGGGGTCTATTAGTTTGTGATCCACCATCAGTCTCTGGACTGGTATTGCCTCTTGAGAGTTGTAAGTGTTGGAGGATCTGGATATGCGGTCTGTTGCTGGATCTAAGGTTGCATTCCAGTCGCCTGCTACTATGCACGGCGTCAACGGTGGAATCTTTGTCCCCAACTCTGACAGGAAGGACGTTCTTTCGGTTGCATCGTTTGGGTCGTAGATATTGAGGAGGAGAAATTCTTCATCTTTCCATTTAATATGCATAGAGCACCATCTGCCCTCCTGGGGGTCTGCTTCCTTGATCGTCACACTTCCTGCCTTGTATATGCGTGAGGAGTTGGGGATTAGGATAGTTGTGCCTTTGGTGCTTGATGCATTGTCTGCCGCCCATATTTCATCTTTGACCCCTCCCAATTTCCTTGCCACGAATTTTCTGATTTTATTGTGTTCTGTTGAAAATGAGAGATGAGTTTCTTGTAGCATTATTATGTCTGCAGGCGTTTTGTTTTTGACTGTTAAGCCTTGGATTATGTCATTCCACTTTTCTTCTTTGTCTATGACATTTCCCAAACCATTCACGTTCCATGACCTGATGATGATTCCTTGGTCTTTCCAGTCCCTCCGATCTTCCCTCTCATTGGCCTTCTTCCTGAAACCCTCCATCCTCTGAGTTCTGCCGGGTTAGAGCGGTATAATTGTAGTTCAATAAAAGATCTACGAAGGTGCAACCCCCCCTGTGTCCATGTCCAACGGTCCCTCCCCCCCTTGGGGGTCTGTCGTAGGCTGTCCTACACTAATCATCTTATCCATCTCCTGTCTGGGGATCACAAACCGCTCTTCACTGTCCTCATTGCCTGAGTCCATCGCATCCTCCTGGTCCTCTCCTTCCTTCTCATCATCTGAATGCCATGCCTGGTCCTCCCCCTCGGATACGTCACTCCTATAAAACCTCTCCCAATCCACCGGGTATGCCCTTGCTTCTAAGTCACCATCGCCCTCCAGCATACCTGAAGTTACCAATTGAGCCAATGAGACTGCTGCCAATTCAGCCGGTAGGCTGGAACCGGCCAGGACACTATATAGGGTATAGCTTGGATTGTTCTCCATGGTCTCCATTTCATCCCTGAAGTCAGGATTGCTTTGTTTGACAGCTTGACTATCAGAGGTGAAAATGCCTCAGGTGAATGTCTACCATGCTCTGAGTGCTGTGAAGTTGCTCCCTCGTGTTCTGGTTGAGGAAGTGCATCCTCCTGATCTGTGGGTTGCTTGGCATGGTATCATAGACCCCCAATGGATACTCCGTGGATATCTTCTCGCGGAGTGTGGTAGCTACATTTTGCCCTTCCTCAAAGCATGGAATCTGAAACGACACATCTGTTGCAATCTGCCACTCCTCGATTTTTTCTACATATCTTGCAGCAATCGAGGGGCAGATGTTCATCAGTGTCAGTCTTGACGACTTGGCTGTCTCTACCACCAAAGGAGCCTGGTCCCTGGCAATGTGTGCGATTGTTGTGAATTTTGTTGAGTATTCCTCATTCAGTTTGTTCAGCTTCGTTGTTTGTGCAATTACCATGACTGCTTCCTTTTCCAGCTGTGTGCGCGCTGATTCTTCCTCAAAGTCGGGCTGAGTCATGTTCGAGTTCTTCTTCTTCTGATTTTGCCCGGATTTCCACTTCTTTGGGCGCAGATCTTGGAAATCATCCTTCGATTCTGGAGCTGTTATATCTCTGTCTTTCACTCCCTGTTCCCTTGCTCTCTTCTTTTCTGCATACCTGAATGCTGTGTATTCTGATAATTCTTCCGCTTTCACTTTCCTGAGAACGTCAAACTGATTGGTTGATTTCCCAACTTCGCCCATCCCTTTCTTGCCATTTCTCTGAGATCTTTCTGCATGCTTGAGACAGGCTGCCCGAATGTCGAAGGCCTGTTCCCACTCCCTCTTCACTTTCTCTACATAATCCCTGAGCCACTGTAGAAATCTGTGGGAATCCCCCTCACTTTCCGATACTTTGTTGTCCCCTTCCCCTTTGCCGCTCTCACTCGTTTTCTCAGACCCAGTACCTCCCGAATTTGTTCTCCCCTCCTCTCCTTCTTTGTCAGTTGGAAGAGTTACCACTTCCTCTTGGGCATCCACTGTCTTCCTCCTCTTTGGGCCCCCTTCCTGAATCCCTTGTGTCTTTCCCTTTTCCATTGTCCTTTTGTTGTCTGTTTGAGCCCCTGTTCTGTTATGAGTTGATGTTTGCTCCATCTTTAAGAGCATGCTTCTGAATTCTGTCGAGTCTTTGTTGAAGTGAAGTATTGCCTGTTCTTTCACTGCTTCCAAGTCCCACAATAAGTCTTCTTTATCCTTTTCTTCCTTGATAACTCGTGAATCGATCAGTGGGTCAGTAGTGATTTTCGACGGGTTGCCCGATATCTTCCCTGTGGCTCTTTTTTGCCATCTGCTGTCAGCCGGGGGGAAAACATTGGGTTTTTTAACTTCCGGATCTTGGTCGGCGTAATGCCATACCCAGTCCGGAGCCTCCAGATTGTCGTCGAAGACCCACCCGTTGTAATTGCTGTCCGGAATGAACCATATGCCCGGGGCATCCTCCGCCTCCACTAACATGTTGGGGAGGAACTTTCGTTCTCTCGGTTGATTCAGATACTTGGGGCAGTTCGGGTCTGATCCCATGTGGCCTCTTTCTCTGCAGCGATAGCAGATCGGGGAGGATTTGGTGGACACTTTGACTTCCACTGATCTGCTTTCAATCTGGAATTTCCAGGTCTGTGGGAAGATGGGAGGATTGTCTGTCTTCACCTCAATCACTGCCGTCATGGATCCACAGTACGGAGCCAGAAAAACCGGTGTAGGGAGCACCCATTTTAGGATTCTGTTTGCCGGATATTGCCTTTCTAATCTGTCTACTAGCAGCCCATGCAGACCCGGTTGCACATTGTCAAATTGTACCCAGAAATTTTCTTTTAAAAGTGTCTGCTTGTACGAGACCGCGAATGTCTGACTCTGTTTCTGGGAAGACAATTTTTTCCATTTGCTGATTGTGCAGACCGAACCATGACAATTCCTGGACTGTAATTCTGTTGCCGCTTTCGCATGTTCCTCTCGTATGAAGAGTGCCATGATGTTGTTCCGACCCAGAATCTGCAGTGTGAAGGTCTCACCGGATTGTTCGAGTTTCAATTCCTTCTTGATTACCTCTATGATCCATTTCCTTTTCTCTGGTGGTTGGAGGTTTGCTCCATTCCGTGCAAAGTTGAATACCACGCCATGCCTCTCGTGTACATCATCCAGTTCTGCCACCTTTTCTTCTGGGTACTTCCAAATGATAACTTCTTCTTCTTTGCCTTCGACATTTTGAATTTCTGTGATTTGCTCTCCTTGGACTTTGGTTTTCTCTATTAGGAACTTAAGTGCTTCATTGTCAATAACGCGGTTGTTGATTTCTCCCGTTTCTTGATTAGCTGTGAACGGATTGAGGAGCGGCGATGCCATTCTGGTAGAGGACAAATCTGGTCAGTATTCTATCACCTATCTTCCCCGTTCCCCTTGGACTGTGATAAGAGCCTCTATTACGGGTTGGAGGGGACAGTCCCCTTGATCCAGGGAAAAAATTGAGATTATGACCGTGATCACACGAAAGAGAGACCAACCTTAATTGGTGATCTGGATCCGAGTGGAGTTATGAACGGGATCGTGCGGGGGGTAAAGTCTGGGATTGGAGTTGGGATCCACTGAGTGGGGTGGTATGAGATCAAACTGTGAGAAATGAGGTAGGATCGGGGGAGGAGTGGTTGCGTTCGGAGTGGGGTCTAGGAGAGGACGATGTGGGGAGGCGGATGCACGTCGGGGACGGGGTGGGAGTCGGAATGAGGTCGGGTTAGGAGGAATGTGGGAGTAGGAGGGGTGGGAGCTGGTCTGAGTCAGATATTGAGAAGCGAGCCGGGGCAGTATGGGTTCGGGTTGGGATCGGGGTGGGATCGGGGTTGGATCGGATCGAATTGAGGTCGGAGTGGGATTGGGATATATTTGAGATAAGATCGAGTTGGGATCGGGATGGAGTAGAGAAAAGATGGGGTGAGGTCAGTTTGCGTTCGGGATGAGAATGAGGAGAGAGAGAAGTGGGGGTGAGGTGGGTGCGCTTCGAAGATGGGTTGGGATCGGGGTGTGAACGGGATTGGATCGGGTCGGGCTGAGGTCGGGGTGGGGTTGGGATATATTCGAGGTAAGATCAGGTTGGGATCTGGATGGGGTAGAGAAGGGATGGGGTGAGATCGATTGGCGTTCGGGATGAGATCGAGGAGAGAGAGGAGTGGGAGTGAGGTGGGTACGCTTCGAAGATGGGCTGGGATCGGGGTGTGACCGGGATTGGATTGGGTCGGACTGAGGTCGGGATCGGGATGGGGTAGAGAAAAGATGGGGTGAGATCGGTTTGTGTTCAGAAGGAGATCGAGGAGAGAGAGAGGTGGGGGTGAAGTGGAGTGGGTACGCTTCGGAGATGGGATGGGGTTGAGACTGAAGTCGAATTAAGAGGGCTTTGAGCTATGGCCGTGGACTGCTGTAGGAGTTGGGGTAGGATGGGGACGAGGTTGGGGTCGGGGAGGGGAAGAGATAAACACCGAGGTTGTTGTTGCTGTTGGGATCGGGTTGGAGGTGGGTGGCGAGGAGGAGGGAAGGAACCGGGTTAGGATCGGTGTTGAAATCCGGGTTGGGGGTAAAAGGGGATCGGGTTACTGATTGAGGCGAGTGGTAGGATGACGGCGAAAATTAGAGATGGAGTGCGTGGTTGGATTGAAGAGGGTCGGGGTTTTCAATTAAGACGAGTACTAGATGGAAGGGGGCGTGTCACAGTTGCTGACGAGTACTAGCTGGAAGGGGGTGTGTCAAGGTTGCTGCTTGGGCGACACGGCTTGGGTTGTCTGTTTCGCCGGGAATGCCTCGTACTGCGGCTTGAATGGAGGAGAAGTCGTCAGTCGTGGACGGTACGAGTTTTTGTTTGGACTATCGCCTCGTCGGTGGGGGAGATGCTAATTGGGCGGCGTTTGCCCTCCCCTCTTGGGGATCGGTTTTCTATTGGATCCGGCGAGAGAGGAAGGGAGTGGTGGGTGAACCAAACAAGAGGGGATGATTATAGCGGACTATGGGAAAATAACGGGGGTACGTGACTATACTGAATGGTGTATATAATTGTTGTATCACTATCGGGGTAGGTGGGCTTAGGATGGATGTTAAGCGAAGGTTGGGCGCAAGACGAAATGAATCGGGCCAGGTGGCGGAGTTGGAGAAGTTGGGGTGAGGTTGGAGGCGGAAGAGGAGATGAGTTGAGATAGATTGGAGAGAGAAGATATGTCTGTTAGATTTCTACAAAGAGATGGGAATCAGATTGAAGCTGGAAGGGGGTTGGGAAGGCAATATAGTCAGGGCGTGCTTGGGCCGAAAGGGTCAGAGGGGGGTGGATATGGAGTCGATTTGGGATGATATGATTGGCGAGGGAGCGTGATGTTATGGGGTTCAGGTCGGAGACGAGAATTGGGTGAGGAGGAGGTAGGATGGGGTTGAGAAAAGGGGCCGGGATGCGGGAGTTAGTCGGTTGTTCTCACTCGAAAGGGTTGGTCTTCGTCTTCATAGAGCTGCTGGAGTCTTTTCGTCGCATGAACTCTCTCTCAATCTTCAAGGATGTCAAGGTTATCGTTCGCATTGCCTTGGGCGCACGTGCGCATCCTCCAAGCCCGGCACATATGCCCTCCTCGCCATTTATGCACTCATCTTACTCTGTTTTCATTGAGATACGCGCGCGCCCAGGGCGCACGCACGTGATGTTCGGTGCACTTCAGACTAAGGCGAGGACGCGGTATTCAGCTATGGTTTGAGTTGACGCCCATACAGGGCGGGCGCGGCGTGAGCGTAACGTGACGCTGACCGGGCTATGGCGAGGGCGCGATGTTCAGCTATGGATGGTTTGACGCCCATACCGGGCGGGCGGGGCGCGAGCGCAGCGTAACGCTGACCGAGCGGCACGAGCGCAATTTTCCCTCATTTGCTACCCTTTCTCTTGGCCCAAACTTTTTCTTGGGCAAGGGCTGCCGGATTTCAATTTCCGCAGGCCCTACCCCCAGAAATTTCAAAAAGGCAAAGCATAAAACTGGCCTTACCCCTCCCTTCTGCAAATCCCATGCAGTGGTGGGGTAAGTTCGCGAGAAGGGAGTAGTCGCCTAGTAACGACCTGCCCCACGAACAGTGCAGAAGTCACAGGTTACATTTTCATGTGTGGCCGACCACCAATATATTCTGAAGGTTGGCGTTCGGGTCTGCATGTCGGCAGTTATGGGTTAGGATGAAGATGCCTGTAGCTCTCTCGTTTTTTTGTTTTTGTTTTCTTATGAATACGTACAGTGGGCTGAGTGGGGCCTGCTCCACTACACACCACATGCACAAAAGAAATAGCGTATAGCGGTGTATGGTCCCATGTTTTAGCAGAAGATTCATTCTACTAATATTATTATTGTATACATTTGGTGAGTGGTGGAGGGAGCTCTCGTTTTTTTGTTTTTGTTTTCTTACGAATACTTACAGTGGGGCCTGCTCCACTACTCACCAAATGCACAAAAGACGTAGCATATGGCGGTGTATGGTTCCATGTTTTAGCAGAAGATTCATTCTACTAATATTGTATACATTTGGTGAGTGGTGGAGGGAGGCCCTGAGAATCACGTGGAGACACGAACAGGCTCTAGCTGAATTGGTGACCCATAACTGCCGAGCTACAGCCTTGAACTCGAATCCAAAGCATATATTGGTGGTCTGCCCTACCTCTTCCACAGATAACGAGGGCATCCTCCTAATTGAAGCAGTGGTCCTCGATGACTCCACATGTAACGTAGGAGTCATTCGAGGTACCTGCAGGGGCCCTCGAATTGACCTGAAGGGGACCTTTTGTTATCTCTTTTCTCTCTCTCTCTCTCTCTTGGGGGCCTGTTTTTTTTT